GGGTTCCATTTACATAAGATAGACAAAATCTATAAGCAGAAAGCAGAATAAAGCCACCTGGGGGAATGAAAGATGAGAAACTAAAAACTCAAGTACACGGACTTTCCTTTAGAAGTGAGGAAAATGTTCTAAAATCACCTATGATAATAACCTCTATGAAAACACCTGATGTATATTTTAACTGTATGGCATGTTAGTGTTAAAAACCAAAGGGGACTGACCAAAATCAACTTGGGGAGGAAAAGGTTTCTTTGGCTTATAGGTCACAGCCCATCATCAAGGAAAGCCAAGGCAGAAACCTGGAGTACAAACCATGGAGGCGCACTGCTGACTGGCTCGCTTCCCTGGCCTGTACCCGGCCTGCTTTCTTACACAATCAAGGATCACCTACCCAGGGGTAGCACTATGTAGGGAGGGCTGGGCCCTCTTACACCATTCAATAATCAAGAAAATGCCCCACAGGCCAATCCAATGAAGTACCTCAGTTGAGGCTCCCTCTACCCAAGTATGTCAACTTGACAACTGAAGCTATCCAGCATACAGACTAAGAAAAAAAAAAAGATTGAAATTAAAATTGCTAAATTAAAAAGATGAAAAGCAATAGAATTAAACAAATCCAAGAGCTGTTTCCTTGGATGAAAAGTAAAGCAAATCAAGTAAAAAATAAGACATAAACATAAAATTAAAAATGAGAAGGGACTAGAGAGATGGCTTAGTGGTTAAGAGCACTGGTTGCTCTTGTAGAAGACCCAGATTCGATTCCCAGCACCCACATGGCAGCTAACAACCATCTGTAACTCCAGTTCCAGGGAACTCCAACGCCCTCTTTTGACCTCCTTGGGCACTACACAATATGAGTGCACTTACACATATGCAAGCAATATTATTCATATACATAAAACAAAAATAATAAAAAATGAGAAGTAGAAATAGTCACATACAAGCAAGTAATTTAAAATACTATATAGCATTCCATTCTAATCAACTAGAGACCCTTGTCATTTTGAAATGAAGGACTTTCTAGGAAAATCTTAAAATTACCAAAATTAACCCAAGAAACCTGAGTTTGTATACACAGACCACAATGGAGAGGAACCCAGATGATATCTTTCACACATAAAAGAAACATTCCTATAAACCTAAACTGTTCCAGGGCATGGAGAAGTCCTCATTCCAGCACCTTTCCTGAAAATGGCATACCATGGACAAGGTAAGGGCTCAGGCCTGTTCTTTCTTCTAAAAATCACCAACCTTCCAACCAGAGATGTTGAACACTGGGCAGGGACTAGAGGATAAGAGTGAAGGGGCGGGGGCAGGGGGACTGGAGGGATGGCTCAGAGGTTAAGATCACTGGTTGTTCTTGCAGAAGACCCAGGTTCGAATCCCAGCACCCACATGGCAGCTAACAACTGTCCGTAACTCCAGTCCCAGGGGATCCAACAGCCTCTTCTGTCCTCCGCAGGCATTGCACAACACGGGTGCACTTACCTACATGCAGACAATACACACATACACATAAAATAAAAATGATAAAAATATTTTTAAAAGTCAAAAAAATTAAATAACAATAATAATGTTGAGGTATCCAGAAAGACACTCGAGGTAGATCTGGCCTCCACATGCACCCATACGGACACATATATTGACATAAACATGAATATATACAACAGAGAGAGAGAGAGAGAGAGAGAGAGAGAGAGAGAGAGAGAGAGAGAAATAGTCATCTTTGACTAACAGGACTACAAACTTAATCACTGTCTTACAGATCATCCCTAGAAAACCCTTATTATCTAGAAAGAGTTATATGAAAGGGTAAATGGAATATTTGAATTCTGTAATGTAACTGAGCAAATGAAAATGTTTCCTTATTTGAGCTCATCCTTTAAACAATTTACACTGCACTAAACACTACTCAACAAAACTTAGGGGTGGGGAGGCCTATATATAGCTCATTGGCAGTGAGCTTAGCTAACATGCATCAACACTAGGATTTGATCTTCAGCAGCACACACAAAAAAAAGACCATCTACACCTTCAGGTATTTTCTAGTGTAAGCAACTGATTTTTGTTTTTGAGACAGGGTCTTACTGTGCAGCTCTGGCTGGCCTGGAACTCAAAGTACAGACCAGGCTGGCCTTAAACTCTGAAATCTCCTTCTCAGTGCTAGGATTAAAGGTGTGCACTACCATGCCCAGCCTTCACATTAACTCTTTCCTTTCTTTCTTTTGGTTTTTTTGGAGACAAGGTCTGCCAATAGCCCTAGCTGGTCTGGGACTAGCTATGTAGACAAGGCTGGCCTGGATCTCACAGAGATTCACCTGCCTCTGCCTCCTGAGTGCTGAGTGCTGAGACCAAAGGCATGTGCCACCATACGCAACTTCACTTTCATTCTTACTATTGCTAACATGAGAAAATTCTTATTCTGAATAACAGCAACCTATCTATATGTAGTAGAAAAAGACTGCTTCTAAGACCTTTCTTCCTGGCCACCATTCCCACCACAGACCTGGTCATATCTTAAAATCTGCACAGGAATTAATTCAATAACCAAATACCTGGACACTTTACCCTCCACATCTAGCCCATTATTAAGTGTGACAATTTTTGCCTTGAAAATGTGGCTGCTTTTCCAGGATGAATGGCTGTGCTGAGCCATTCTACCCTCAGAATAAGGCTGCTTTGGTCTCCGCAGGCTGGGCTTCAATCAGGACCAGAAAGAGGTAGCCTTTACAAGTCCTGGCTATAATCTGTCTTAGGACATCTTGATACCACTGTAGAGAATTCCATTTTCTAATGAGCACACAGAACCATCACAAGTTTAACCCCTAGTGACCCATACTTGCTCTGCACAGATAACCAGTTCCCAAAAGACACACAAACACAGGTGTCCCACCTGATAAGACCTAAACAACCAGGGCACCATGAGAGTGAAACAAAACCTGACTGCCCACACAGCAAAGTCCGTGAAAGCAGCCCCTCTTAATGCCTCTACACAGGTAGTTTCTACTGTGTTGCCCACTGCAGCTATAGCTCACTGCAGCTAATAAACTTTCTATTTCTGCCTTTTTGTTTTGGTGAATTCACTCACAGCCTGTGGTCTGTCAACTGTCCTGGCACAGCAAATACCTCTCAAAACAGCCTAGTTTTCCCTGTATTTACCAACAAACACTCCATGTCCCTGCTCTACAACACCACTTTTTTTGCCTGACAATATTGCAATTTCCCTCTAATTAGTGTCTTTCGCCTATTCCTGCTACTTGAATCTGACTCTGCAATCACACTTGTCCACTCACTATTTGGTTATCTTGCTGAAACACATAAATGATCATACACATCCCTATTTAAAACATTTTATTGATTTCCCAAAGCTCCAGGGACAAAGCCTCCAAACCCCTAGCATAACACCTGAAGCACCGCACAACTCCAACTCAAGCCACTGGCCTTCATTTCCTTGAAAACGCCATGCTCTCACTAAGCAACAGTACTCTTGTTTTTCTCTCATCTAAAAGGTTCTTTTCTACCCCTTGCTTGTCTAGCCTTACTCTGTCTTCAGACATCAATTCTATTATAACCTCCTCAAGAAGCTCCCCAACCTGACTAGTCCAAGTTACCTTACCTTATATGTCACAGCATTTTAGCTATACCAGTTTTAATTATGAGGTCATTTGAATTTTACCTGCCTCCCTCTTTAGAGTGGGAAAGCTAGGAAAGCTGGGTTTGGTTCACCAAGGTCTCCTTGGTGACAAACACAAAGTGTGGCACAAAGCGAATGCTTAACGCATAAGCTCAGGCTGCAGATATGGCTCAGTGGTTAAGCACACTAGCTGTTCTTACAGAGGACCCTGGTTTGATTCCCAGCATCTACTTGGCAGCTAACAACCATTTGTAACTCCAGTTCCAGGGGATCTGAGGCCCTCTTCTAACCTCTGAGAGCATTGCACGTCTTGGGTGCACTTACATACATGCAGGCAAAACACACATAAAATTTTTAAAGCATAAGCTCAATAGATTACGAACCCCCTGGAGTACCAGACAACATTTTTAAAATCTTTAGTAATCCACCAGGACAGGTATTAATTAAGTATGGCTAGCAAGTACTTGAAAAGGGATTAAAACAGTGGAGCCGACAAATTCCTAATTTTATTCATTCTTTAGCCCCAGTAGTGGGCCTTGAACTCAGGGCCTTGCACATACTAAGCAAGCCCTTTACCACTGAGATAATAATACCACCAGCTCCTCTAGAGCCACTCTTGGCTAGTGGCTCTGGTACAGAACAGCACAGGTTCTTGCTATCTGAAAAAGTATTAAATTCATTGCATGGTTGTATTTTCCAAATTTATCTTAGTGAGACAATGGTAAAATCGATTTACTCCTTTCTGTCTTGACTTTTCTTTCTAGTTTTTTAAACCAGAGCAATGCCACAAGCCTCTGACATTCTAAGTCCCTCCCACTGGCAGGGGACCCATGTATTGCTGCAAATTCGATCCCAGAAAAACTCAGTGGGCGGGAAGCCTCCCAGCATCTCTCATGCCTAGTACACATCCACACTAATTCTTCAAGGAGAGTTCTTTCTGCACTTCAGTGAAAACTAAAGTGTTAATTGTCTTCCTAATTGGCTATTCCTTAGCAACGACTAGCTCCGGTGCTACCCCAGCTCCCGCCTCCTGACAAAAGCCTTCCTAACTGGGAGCTATGGGACTACAGTCGTCCTCGAGCATCTGTCCCATCTGTCATAGTTCAAAGATGCTGAAGAGGGTCAGACAAGGGAGATGTGGTTGCTAGAAAGGACTGGAGACCACCAGGAGCCTGCCAGCCCCACCGACTGGAGTCAGGGCTCAGCAGCAAACAGCCCCCCGCGATCCTGGACTCATCTCAGCTGGTCAAACCCCTACACTAGGGGGAGCAAGAGGCGGAGCTCCGGCGGCGGAGGCTAGAAGCCACACCTCCCCGGGGTCCGCACCTCCCCCTCCCCAGGGCCCGGACCTCCCCAGCCCGCTCACCTGCTCCGCAGGCGTCCATTCCGCCGGAGCGTATAAGTGCCTCGGGGTCAGCGGCGGCGGAAAAACCTAGCCTGGTTGCGCCGCCAGCCAGGCCTTGGCCATCTCGTATTCCTCCTCCTCGTCCGCGCTCTCCCGCGGCTGGAACGCGAAGTTAAAATCCGAGTCCACATCAGGCCCCGCCTCTTCCTCTTCCACCTTCATGGTCGACTCCGAGGTCGCCTCCTCCACCCTCTCGGTTGCCAGCGACGCGACCTCCACTTCCTCCTCCTCCAGCTCGCCCGGCCACCGTAGATCCTCGGGCTCCAGGTTGGCGCAGTGCTCGGGGCGGCTGAGGGCGAGGAGGGTGAAAGAGAAGAGGTCGAAGAGGGGAGGAGAAGTGAGCTGACTGGCGATTGCCACCGCCTCAAGTGGGTGGGGCGGGGCTGCGAGAGCGCGCGTTGCTTGGGGTGGCCCCCGAGGCGCCCTGGGAAGGCCCGGGCTAAGGAGAACCACGACGGAGCGACGGGTGACTGAGCCGCCCCCCTCCCAGTCACCGCACCTTGCTCACAGTACTGTACGCTCACAGTAAACCCAGCCTGGGCTCCTTTGGAGGAGCTAGGGCCCCGCACAGTTCACCCTGGTTTTTTGCCTCTCACGGAGGAGACATCAGACCCTAGGATAAATCCATAATAATCACACTTGCAAATTACAGATTTTTTAAAAGTTGGCGCTTTAAGGGACAGTCTATATACCTGCCCTTGAACCTAACTGTGGTGAAGTGTGGGGGGTGGGTTAAGAAATGGACTCTGAGCGGGCGTTGGTGGCACCACACCTGTGATCCCAGCACTCAGGTGGCAGAGGCACGCTGATCTCTGTGAGTTCAAGGCCAGCCTGGTCTACATTGCGAGTTCTAGGCCAACCAGTGCTACATAGTGAGTTCCTGGAGAGAGAGAGAGAGAGAGAGGGAGAGGGGAGAAGGGAGAGAGGAGAGGGAAAGGAAGAAAAAAAAATGGGGCTGAGAAAATAAACTAACATCTGTGGAGACTGGTCTGATACTAGTGTCTGAGCGTCAGTGCTGTTGGGAGCTACCAGTGGCTTTGACAGCTATGCTGGGATACTCTCACTGAATGTAAGCAATCTGACAAGACACTGAATCTGTTCCCTGTTACTAATAACACAGTGCCAATCTAGATATTTTAAAGAAAAGAGGTTTATTTGGGCTCACATTAAGCTTAGTCCAAGGCCAAGGAATCATGTCGGGTGATGTCCTGCTAACAAACTACTGACATCACATGGTAAGAGATAGGGCACACATGTGTCTTCTGCATTCTCTTTCTCTTATGAAGCCACTATTGTTCCATGATGAGGGCTCTACCCTAATGACTTTATCTAATCTTAACCATGTCACCTCTGGACACCAGAGTTCTGTTATATTTCCACTCTGGAAATACCTCACAATGCCACTTCTGAGTTTTATAATTCTACCTTTTTTTTTTTTTTTTAAACAGGGTCTCCCTGTGGCCCCAGCTGCCCTGGAACTTGCTATGTAGACCAGGCTGGCCTCCATCTCCTCCTCCAAGTGCTGGGATTAAAAGTGTTCAACACCATGCTCAGCTTATTTACACCTACTTAATACCTCACAATGGAGATTAAACTCTGTATTACCTTTCTGTTATGATAAGACAATGTGAACAAAGCAACTTTTGTAAGGAGTTTATTTGGCTTATGATTCCAGAACTATTAGAGTTCATAATGGCGGGGAGGCATGATGGCAGAGGTGGCCAGAGAAGAAAGCTGAGGCATCACATCTTCAAGTAGGCACAGAAAGCAGACTAAAAGTCTGGCAATGTTTAAGAACTTTCAAAGCCCCCAGTGAGTGATTCCTCCAGCAAGGCCACACTTTATAAAACCTGCCAAAACAGTGCCAATAACTGGAGATAAAATCACTTGGAGCCTGCCAGGAGTGATGGTGCAGGCCTTTAATCCCAGCACTCAGGAGGCAGAGGCATACGGATCTCTGTGAGTTCAAGGCCAGCCTGGTCTACATAGCAAGTTCCAGGCCAGCTGTGGCTACAAGGAGCCCCTATCTCAAAGAGCTCCCCCAAAAAATCACTTGGTGCCTATAGAGAACATTCTCATTCAAACCACTGCATTCCACTTCCTGGCCCCTATAGGCTCATGACCGCATCATAATGCAAAATGCATTGAGCTGGTATCTGTAGGCCAGACTGGTCTACATAGCAAGTTCCAGGGCAGCTGAGGCTACAGTTAGATTCTGTCTCAAAAAGACAAAATAAAAATAAAAATAGGGGCTGGAGCGATGACTCAGCAGTTAAGAGCACTGGCTTCTCTTGCAGAGGACCCGAGTTCGATTCCCAGCACCAACAACTGTCAGTAACTCCAACTTCAGGGGAATCCAATGCGTTCTTCTGACCTCCACAGGATTTACACAACACGAGTGTATTCACATACATTCAGGCGGTACATTCATACACATAAAATAAAAATAATAAAATATTTTTAAAATAAAGTTCAGAGTCCATAGTCTCTTCTGAGACTCAAGACAATCTCTTAACTGTAAGCTCCTGTAAAATCAAGGACAAATTACATACTTCCAGGGTTGGAGAGATGGCTCAGCAATTGGGAGCACTGGCTGCTCTTGTGGAGGACTTGAGTTCAATATCCAGTACCTACATGGCAGCTAACAACCGTCTATAACTCCAGTTCCAGGGGATCCAACACCATCTTCTAACCTCCATGGGCATTGCATGACACACATGCACTAATTACATACAGGCAATAAATATATTGATACACATAAATAAACAAAAGATAAAATATTTTTAAATTACATATTTCCAACATATGTTGGAACAGAGTATACATTCCTATTCCTAAAGGGAGGAATGAGCTGGGCATGGTGGAGCACACCTTTAATCTCAGTACTCAGGAGGCAGAGGCAGGTGGATCTCTGTAAAATCGAGGTCAGCCTACATGGCAAGTTCCAGGCCTGTTGGGACTATAGGAAGACCCTGTCTCAAAAAGAAAAAAAAAATGGGGGATGAGTGTAATGGGGGCATACTGAGGAAATACTAGACCAAAATAAGACTGAAAAGCAGCAGGACAAACACCAAATCCAGTAGCTCCATGAGACTTCTGGGACTTTAGTTACTAAAAGCATAGATGGCTCAGCCCCTCCAGCTTTGTTATGTGCAACATACACCTCTCTCGGGCTAGTTCCACTCCTTGTATGTGGCTATCCTTGGCAGATGCCTCATGGCTCTAGCATCTCCATATCTTGGGGTCTCCACTGCCAACCAGGTTTTACCTTCACAGCTTAGACCTCTTGGCCTATCAGGGCCCTCTTTATGCAAGGGAATCCCTGCTGCATGCTGCCTGGCCTCAGTGGTTCTCTGAAACCCCAAAGGTAAAACTGATAACCCCATCACCATTGCAACTTTAATGCCTCCAAAGCTAGCACCGTGTGAACAACACTACCAAGTTTGACTGCCAGCCTAGAATAAACCCTGGCCAGCTTCATCCACATTACCAGAAGCTTTTGTCTACAGCAGTTTTCTAGGAGCAAGAATCTCCTTAGGCTTTTTCCTTTCTCAAATTGGAGGCTTAGCTTGGTGTATTTCCCATTGTTTAAGTGTAAATCTATAAGCTCTAATCTTAGCAAAGACAGCTTCTCCTTCAGCACATGCCTTGGCTCCAACATTAATCTTCCTAGTGCTCTTTTACAATCCAAACAGTACATTCTGCATTTCTTTCTGCCTCATTTGTTCTTTTTTTTGCTGCAGATCTGCATAATATTCACCATTAATAGCACATCACCATTTCTACATTAGGCTATCTTGAAATTCCCTCTACCAAAGAAACTAGTTAGTCCATTACTTTTCAACTTAGCATCAGGCAAGCTCTTAGGCTATGTTCAGACTGCAGCCAGAGTTTTTGCCAAAACATCCCTGTTGCTTAAGTCCTCACTTTCCTCTGGAACTGCTTTGCTCTCAGCACTACTTTCTTCCAGGCTCCTCCTAGAATGGCTTTGCTTATAGCATTCAACAGCTTTTCTAGTCCAAACTTCCAAAGTTTTCCACATTCCTCCCAAAACCCATCGATCAGGTTCTTCACAGCAACATCCCACTGTCCTGGTACCAACTTATGTATTAGTTACTTTTCTGTTGTTGTGATAAGATACCATGACCAAGGCAACTTTTAGTAGGAACGGTTTATTTGATTTATGATTCCAGAGAGATTAGAGACCATAATGGTTGGGGGCATAGTGTCAGAGATGACTAGAGAAGAAAGTTGAAGGAATCATATCTTCAAGCAGGTACAGGAAGCAGAAAGCAACTAGAAATCTGACAAGCCCTCACCTCAACAGAATAAAAGAGATGGTTTATTCTGGAGCCAAATATGAATGACCATGGCCTGGAAACACAGATTTAGGTTTCCCCAAACACCATGTTCCAATGAGGTAGCAGTTTTATGGACTTCTTGTAGTAACAGAACAAAGTCATAAATCAACATACTCTTTAAATACATTGCTGGATATATTCAGTAAACAGGTCATAGTAAAGACAGGGGTCAGGGATTTTACTATAGGTCTCAGATGCTATCTGATGATATTCTTAGGCTCTGGACCTGCAACATTCCTCAACAGTCACTGAAGTGCTAATCAGTTAGTCAGCCTTGCAGGGAGTTCAGACCAAGGTACAGGATTTTTCTGCTGAACTTTTTGTTCACACTTAAGAACTCTCAAAGTGCACCCCAGTGACATGCTTCCTCCAGCAAGGCCACACCTCCTAAAACCTGCCAAAACAGTGCCACCAACTGGGGACAACATGTCCAAATGCTTGGAGCCCATGGGGAACATTTTCATTCAAACCAACACAAACTCCTACATGAGTTTACAGAGGACAAATCATATTCAAATAAACACTAACATCCCACAAGGCCATTCTGTGACTGTGTTGAAGTCAGACCAAAAGGACTATTTCATAACTTTGCCTGAGCACAGACAAACACTATTATGCAAACCCAAAACACACAAAGCATCCTTCTCTCCATCTCATTTCAGTGGCCTCTCCTGCTTTCACCAATTATAGGTCGCACATCACTGCATTCTTCCCTTCTTAAGGTTGATTAGGATGCTTAGTCATAGAATACCCCTCACCTTGACAGCATCCTAATCACAACAAAGCCCTTTAAACCTTCCCCCAAATCACCTAATACAAGTCCAAATCCTTTAACTTCTCACAGCGCCCTCTTATGGAAATGACTGTGTTTCCCAAGCCTTTGTTCTCCCTTGTGGCAAAAAATAACAACCCAACTTTGTGCTCCTGGTGATCTTTGGCTGGAGAAAAGGAACACTTTAAAGAAATCGACTATGTGAGTTCTGGACCAATTTCAAACACTATGAGTGGAGTGTACTCCTAGCTACCAGAACTCTGTTTTCAACTGAAGCACAATATCTCCTAGATAGATAAGCATTCTACCACTAAGCCATATCCCCAGTACTATCTGATTAAAAGTTCATTGTGTGCTT